GCCTCATAGTTGTCCAGCTGTAGAAGAGAGACTTGGGCAGTGATACTGGACCTTCATTCCAACATTGTTGTATTATTTATTGTTTGAATTTATAAAGAGGAGGGGGAGATAAGATGCAAGGGAGTTGAGCGAAGAAGAAGAGCTTTGACATTGGTTCTTGCTGGTGTACATTGTCTTTTCCAATCTTTTCTACTTCTTCTTCTTCTTCTTATCCTCTCCATCCTCTCAAGTTCATTCATTTCCTTTTGCAGTTGGTGAACATTGTGCTGATTGGTGAATTTGTACTTCGCAATTGGTCCGGGTCATAACAATATGCTTGAAATCATGGTTACGCTGGACTCAGACACCAGACCAGTCCGGACGTCCGGCGTCGATCTTAGAAGCTCTCGAGCAGAAAGGTCTGGCCTACACCAATAGCAGGCCGGATTCCACGATGAAACAGTTCTGTTTCCAAAAGGATTAGTCTTTTGTGTTCTTTCCTGTCCTGTTTCTCCTGACTTTTTCCGCTCGCTGGAAGACGGCAGTAGGCCGTGGCACCAGAGCATTTTTTGCAAAGTGAAAAAGTATGTCATATGCTTGAAATCATGGTTACGCCGGACCCGGACACCAGACCAGTCCGGACGTCCTGCCGGACCTGTGTCTGGACTGCTCCGGACCGTCCGGATTGAAAAAAAAAAAACCCTAAAAAAAAGAGAAAAACGTTTTTTTATTTTTTCCTTGGATTTGGCTACGATTTTCGAGATGGTCAGCCAAAAGACTTTTTTATTGCAATGCTGCATAAGTTCAGCATAACATATCTTTTGTTTTTTCAGATCTTTTTGATTTTTTTTAAGTCGGATTTTTTGTTGGGGTGGGTGTGGAGGGGTGGATCTGGACACTTGGACCGGACACCAGACCCGGACATCCAGACCCAGACCGTCTGCACTGCGGCCACGGACGTCCGGATCGTAACCATGCTTGACATAGAGTGCCCTCGTGTGCTCAGCAGTTGTATTTTGTGTTCTTTCCTGTCTTGTTTCTCTGGACTTTTTCTGCTTTGTTTTATTTATCATCCAGGAACGTAAAAGTGCCCTCTCTCGTGATTGGCTACGATCTCAGCAGCTCATAGCAGAGTATGAAAACACAAAAATTGCGCTCGAGCAGCGGAAGAGGGTAGAAGCGGCAGCAAGGGCGCAGGAAGAGCAAGTCCGTATGGTCAAGCAGAAAGAGCAAGAGGCACGCCAAGTCAAAGGAAAGGAGCTCAGAGCGAAGGTAAACAATAAATATGAATTGATAAGACCAACATGTCTCAACAGAGTGATAGTAACAGTCTGGATAGAATAAGATTGATAGTATTTAACGGACCGTTCCAAGCGGTGGTGCACAGGGGTGTACACTGTGCACGGTGCTGCTGCTTTTTCTTTTTCTTTTTTTTCTTTTTTTCTTTTTTTTTTTTTGTGTGTGTGTGTGTGAGTGAGCGTGATCCACGAGATTCAGGGCCTCACTCCACAACTCTCCACATGCAGGGGGGGGGAAAAAAAATGGCGGTGTATCTAGTGGATCTGTGAGATTCAGGGCCTTGCTCCACAACTCTCCACATGCACAAAAGAAAAAAAATATGACGGTGTTTCTTTCCATGTTCTAGTGGAAGATTCATTCTCATTTTGCACGTTTGGATAGTAATGCAGCGACACCCTCATTCTCATGTTGCACCCTCCCCTGCATGTGCTAGGAAATCCAACGGACCGTTCCAAGTTTCAACGGATTTCCTGCCATGCGTAGTGGAGGGAGCCCAGCTCACCAAATGCGCAAAATGAGAATGAATCTTCCGCCAGAACATGGGAAGATACACAACCATATTTCATGTGGCGATTGGTTGAGCGAGACTCTATAACGGGCATCGGACATGGGCCTCGCTCCACTACGCAACACATACACAAAAGACAAAAAATATGGCTGTGAATCTTCCCATATTCTGGAGGAAGATTCATTCTCATTTTGCATATTTGGTGAGGGGGGCTCCCTCCACTATGGTGCCAGAAAATCCAAGGAGCGGTTTCAAGTTTCAGCGAATTTCGTGGCACGTGTAGTGGAGAGAGACCCGCTCACCAACGGTTTCAAGCTTCTGTCACTTTCTGACAGATTCTGGTGGGTATAAAAGGTAAGTTTCTCTTTCTCTTTTTTTTTTTGGCAAAAGCACCGAGCTCCGAGTCTTGCCGTTTTCGAATTCTCGAAATGAAAAAAAACAAGTTCAACCAGCAACCAGAGATTGCTTTGCGGGCCGAGTGTGGGCCCAAAAGAAGTTCCTGGCCAATCTATCATGTTGTTGCGGGGCTGGGGATCGTCAATTCTGCCCTTCCCCCGATCCTTTTTTTTTTTTTGGGGGGGGGGAAGACCCCTATTTTAGCTGTTGCGGCGCACCACATGTGCGCGCAACGTGCGCAATGCGCAGTGCGCCGCACGTGCGCGACTGCCACACACGGATGCGCCACAAAGCCATCCTGCTCTCCTCCTGGTGCCATTTGCGGGGCTGGGTATCGCGATTGTGGCAGGAAGAGCTGGAGCCACAGGGTCCAAAACTCCTGCTCCTTGTTCCCTTCCTCCCTAAATTATTTCTGCTTGAGACCTGGGTCTCCCGAAGCCATCCTGCTCTCCTCCTGGTGCCATTTGCAAACTCCTTCCTTTCTTAATGCCTTCAATCCTTTTGTGCAGAAATAAATGATGGTTTCGCTCTCCATTTTTTATGTTTAAGGCAGGGTTGCATCCCTGCCAACCGCCGACCCCGACCGCCAACCGTATTGCAGCCGACCAGTAGGACTGACCGGCCGGCGGTGGTCAGGAAAAAAAAAAAACAACCATCCACTGATTTTTTTTCAAATCTGAGTGGGGGGCTGTACTGCGCTGCTGAGTAGAGCCCAAATCCGCTGAGAAACTTTTGGGGATGGGGGAGGGGTATGGCGGGG